CTTGCAGAGGGATGGCCTCAGTCCAGGGCTGCACAGCTAGTTCTGTCGGGCTCGGCCTTTAGGCTGAGGCTCTGGGCTGGTCCACGTTAGCACTGGGCCTGGTCAGCCGCAGCAGCTCGCTGAGTCTTGGCGGGGATTTGCCCTGCAGGCCCCCTCATCGGAGACTTGGGGAGACCTGGACATGTCCCCAGGGCCGAGGCCGGAGGGTCCCCTCTGACCAGCGCTCTCGGGAGGGTGCCGGCACCGAGGGCTCGGGTAGCAGGTGGGATTTCAATGGCCATCACAGAACAGGCAGATCCTGGACAGCGGGAGAGCAACAAGGCCACTCTAAGCCTGGGGAAAATTCTTTGTCCAGTCTCACTGGGTTGCAGGCTCCTAATGTATTTAGGACTAGAGTTTAGCATGAGACCAGCTGGCAGAAACTGCCTAAAGGACTGGATTTCATTATACTCTTCTGAGCAAAGGTTGCAGATTGCGGCTTGCATCCCGTTTGGCCAGGGCGCTGTTTATTTTTGGGTGCATTTCGATGGGTGTGGGGCGAGGCCTGTGCCCTTCCGTGGCACCTGGTGGGGCCACTGCTCACCTCTGCACCCTGCAGTTAGGTCGTCTCCGGACACCTGCAGGCGTGGAGCCGGCTCCAGGGTGCTCTTGAAGGTTTCCTAGCAGATGTTGAGTGACATTCAGCACGTACCCAAATAGAAGCAGAATCTGGACAAATTCTAGGTGGAATCTGCCAATTAGCGGGGAGTTGTCTTTTTCCTGGCCGGCGGCGTGGGGGCCAGGCCCAGGCGTTCCTTCTAGCTGAGGCTTGAGTTAAAACCCGGTCTCATACCCTGCGGCCCCAGCTTGCAACCAACCAGGGCTCTCCTGTACTTATTTATTTATTTTTGAGACAGAGTCTCACTCTGTAGCCCGGGCTAGAGTGAGTGCCGTGGCATCAGCCTAGCTCACAGCAACCTCAGACTCCTGGGCTCAAAGTGATCCTCCTGCCTCAGCCTCCTGAGTAGCTGGGACTACAGGCATGCGCCACTGCGCCCGGCTAATTTTTTCTATGTATTTTTAGTTGTCCAATTAATTTCTATTTGTAGTAGAGACGGGGGTCTCGCTCTTGCTCAGGCTGGTTTCGAACTCCTGACCCTGAGCGATCTGCCTGCCTCGACCTCCCAGAGTGCTAGGATTGCAGGCGTGAGCCACCGAGAGCCCGGCTCTATGCTTATTAGGTGTTTGGGGAGGTGTCAAGGGGGAGGCTGAGCTTATCCTGCTCTGAGAGAAAAGAGCCCCAGATGGGATGGCTTCTCTGCCCAGGAGGCCACGGAGACCCCCAGCCACGTGTCTGTCCCCGAACGGCTGAGCGAGCGAGTGAGCGAGCGAGTGAGCGAGCGAGAGATCGGCGTGGTGTCTCTCTTTGCCCCGCTCTGATACTGCTTTCCCCCGCCCCCCAGGTGGACGCCCGCAACATCGATGGCAGCACCCCACTCTGCGATGCCTGTGCCTCGGGTAGCATCGAGTGCGTGAAGCTCCTGCTGTCCTACGGGGCCAAGGTCAACCCGCCCCTGTACACGGCGTCCCCCCTGCACGAGGCCTGCATGAGCGGTGAGTTAGTTGCTAGGTGGCTTCGCCCGCCTGGCCGGGCTCCAGAAGGTTCCTCCGTTCTGGGATGACGGGGTTCCCAAAGGAAGCAGGGTAGCAGGGATTGGAGGCCCACTGCCGGGTAGGGAGCATTCCCAGTCTGTCTCCGGCTCTTTTTTTTTTTTTAGACATTCTCACTCTATTATTGCCCGGGCTGGAGTGCTGTGGTGTCAGCCTAGCTCACAGCAACCTCCAACTCCTGGGCTCAAGCGATCCTCTTGCCTCAGCCTCCCTGGTAGCTGGGACTACAGGCATGTGCCACCATGCCCAGCTAATTTTTTCTATATATATATATTTTTAGTTGTCCAATTCATTTTTTTCTATTTGTAGTGGAGACGGGGGTCTCGCTCTTGCTCAGGCTGGTCTCGAACTCCTGACCTTGAGCGATCCTCCCGCCTCGGCCTCCCAGAGTACTAGGGTGACAGGCGTGAGCCACCGGGCCAGGCCTGTTCTCTGGCTCCTGGTGGCCTAGTTGTGGAGATTCCTTGCAGAGGGATGGCCTCAGTCCAGGGCTGCACAGCTAGTTCTGTCGGGCTCGGCCTTTAGGCTGAGGCTCTGGGCTGGTCCACGTTAGCACTGGGCCTGGTCAGCCGCAGCAGCTCACTGGGTCTTGGCGGGGATTTGCCCTGCAGGCCCCCTCATCGGAGACTTGGGGAGACCTGGACATGTCCCCAGGGCCAAGGCCGGAGGGTCCCCTCTGGCCAGTGCTCTTGGGAGGGTGCCGGCCCCGAGGGCTCCGGTAGCAGGTGGGATTTCAATGGCCATCACAGAACAGGCAGATCCTGGACAGCGGGAGAGCAACAAGGCCACTCTAAGCCTGGGGAAAATTCTTTGTCCAGTCTCACTGGGTTACAGGCTCCTAATGTATTTAGAACTAGAATTTAGCGTGAGACCAGCTGGCAGAAACTGCCTAAAGGAGTGGATTTCATTATACTCTTCTGAGCAAAGGTGGCAGATTGCGGCTTGCATCCCGTTTGGCCAGGGTGCTATTTATTTTGGGGTGCATTTCGCTGGGTGTGGGGCGTGGCCTGTGCCCTTCTGTGGCACCTGGTGGGGCCACTGCTCACCTCTGCACCCTGCAGTTAGGTCGTCTCTGGACACCTGCAGGCGTGGAGCCGGCTCCAGGGTGCTCTTGAAGGTTTCCTAGCAGATGTTGAGTGACAGGAACAGAATTCGGGCAAGGCTAGTTTGGTGGACAGAGAGACTGGGATGGTGCCCGGATGAGTTGGGGCCGTCTTCTGGATCCGGGCGCGCAGAAGCGCCCAGATGGCCCTGGGTTGAAGCCAGGCAGGCGGATTGCTCGAGGTCAGGAGTTGGAAACCAGCCTGAGCAAGAACGAGATCCCATCTCTACTATAAAATAGAACGAAATTAATTGGCCCAACTAATAATATAACGAAAAAATTGTAGTCCGGGCATGGTGCGCACGCTAGTAGTCCCAGCCTACTCGGGAGGCGTGAGGGCAGGGGAGTCCGGCTTGAGCCCCAGGAGTTTGAGGGTTGCTGTGAGCTAGGCTGACCCACAGCGCAAATCACTCTAGGCCTGGGCAACAAAGTGAGACTCTGTCTCAAAAAAAAAAAAAAAAAAAAAAAAGAGTGGGTGGGCTGCATTCCTTTTGGTCTGGGGAAGAATCCCTGGGATTTGGTGTGAGAGAGGGGTGCGGAGGGGTGGGGGTCAGGTGTGGCCCAGAGAGGCCTAGGGAGGCGGTGGGTGGGAGGCTCAGAGGTGGAGACGCCAGGCGGGAGCCTCCCTGGCAGGGCCACGGGAGGGGCAGGGTTCAGGCCCGAGTGGAAGCTGGGTGGCTGCCAGCAGCGAGAGGGTTTTTAGCGTTGATGGAGACAGGTTGGAGCCGGGACTGCAGCACGCCAGAAAGTGGGGCCGCGGGCCAGGGGGCATACGGGGCCATGGCCCGGCATTAGAGGCTGCGACGCGGATACGGCCTGTGAGAGAGCAGGGAGGGGGCGTGCTCCTGGGCGCGAGAAAGTCCCCCATAAATGCATACAGACGCTATGCACCCAGGGTCATTACAGAAATATTTAAACAGGAAAAAAATTCAGAGGGGCAGACGGGCAGGAGTCCACAATTCCAGGCCTTTCCCGCCCGAGCCCGGAGGGGCGTGCCCGCGCAGAGGCCCAGCTGCTAGTGGCGGCTGCGCTCCACCTGTCCCTGCGGTGCGCGCTCAGGGACGCTTTCAAGCCTTGGTCCATTTTCTTCCAAGGGACGCTGCCGAGTGCGTGGGTCTCACGGACATGGGGCCAAACTGGAAGCGCTGACGAACTGCGCACTTTGGGGGACCCCTCTGCACGTCGCCTGCGCCCGGGAGCATCTGGACTGCGTCAAGGTGCTGCTCAACGCAGGTGCGTGGGCGTCGCCAGGGGCGGTCGTGGCAGATCCAGGCCTACGCTCCAGGTGCACCCTCCCCTGTGTCCCCTCCGCCCACGCCGGGGCCCAGGGGCCCACAGGCCCAGGTCCAAAGCTAAGCCGGTCCCTTTGTCCCGCACTCTGCCAAATTCTGATTGGCTCAAGCCTGGGGCATTTGAACCAATGACTGTGGTCAGGGGAGAGGGACTGAACCAGTCGGGGCCCAGACGTGCGGCTGAGGTTGTCAGGACCCCCCCCCACCAAGAGAGATG